CAGTCTTAGTTTTTTGAAAGTCCAAGACAATCACAGCATTAAAGGCACTTTAGGTTTACAGAGGTAAGTACCTGAAAGCTAGGAAACGCTTGCATGAAAGTTTCTGGTACAACCTGCTTTCCCTTCCCCTTCTTCCTTTATCAGAGTATTGTAACACAGTTTTTAGTTACATAGTGGTATATCTTTTGCCAGTACAAGGACCTGTCTTCATTCAATGCACAGAGAAGATTGTGCTCCAGGAATAGTCCTGGGTGATATAGTGAATGAAACTGTCCTCTTCAGCTTGTCACAGAAGTGTAATTCTTCCTCCATCACTTAACAGTAGCACAAGCATCCTATTCAAAGCATAGTGTAGAGACACCCTGTGTAGCATTTTGTAAAAGTGAAAGCATTGGAAACTATACACTGCTTTGTTATAAAATTATAGCTGTAATCTTAATGCTACAGGGAGACAGTTCAAGTGTGCATGTGGGAACATGTATGTGTGTACACATGTGAATTCATTGTCCTATGACTGGTGTTATATCTCTAAAATAACATCTCCACTCAAGTTTGCTGGCTTTTCTTGAAATGTGTAACTAATGGGGAAAGGAGGGAACTTTACATGGAAGAATGAAAGGAGACAGCAGAACTGGGATGGATGCTTTCTTATCACAAAACAGTCAGCATTGCTTCTGTCTAGGGAAAAATGGAAAGTCTTATACCTGCCTGTTGTGGCAATGCTGAAACATGCAGCTTCATGGGTACATGGGTGCTGTTAGATCCCCAAACCCTACTCACACTGTTGCCATCTGATGTTTTGAGATTCGCATTTGCATAAATTGAGAATTCTTCATATGTTTTCTTCCCTCTTACAGTGTAATGTGAATACAAAAGCCAATGTTCCATTTCCCATATTTAGTGAAGTCTGTCCTCTTTCCTAGCATGTGTCCAGCATTCTACCAGATAAAGAAAGTAACATTTCAGTCCTATGCCTTCAGACTAGTGTAAGGAGGCTGAAGGCACTAAAGAATTTGGCCATTAACATCTGATACCAGTTGGCTGCCTTGATGACTGGAAGGATGTCAGTGAACAGACAGGTTTGTTCCTGGTTTCTGATAACAGAATAAAACAGGAGAACTTCTAAGTGGTGTGGCTCACAGCTTCAGGGCATAAGCTAATTCTGCTCTCCTATCCTGTTTAGCACTCTCACATAGATTTATGACTCTGAGTAAGAAGGGAGGTATGAAGTTGGCTGTAATTGGTACTGTGCATAAATATAAATGACCATTTCCAATGTGGATGCTCTGCCAGCTATTACATTTTTTAAATTTCCCAGTCTATCACTCTTTTTAAACCACTGGGATTTTTTTTACTTGTGTGATATTTTGGCTCCTGGGAGATGAATTCTACCTCAGGGCTTTCAAGCATGCAGCAGTTTATGTTGTACCTCCTAGGCTGCATGTTAAGGCACTGATGCATGATTTTAGAGATCCTTAGTTCACTAGAGTCACTGCAGGTATGAAGAATTGTTTGATTTTCTTCTGGTCTCTTCATTTGGTATGGTATTACAAGAGTTCAACATGCTCTCCTGGTTGCTCAGTGTCTCCTTTCAGTGAACCAGCCAGTCGACCATCACCTTCAGTACTTGTTGGGCAGGGCCCAGTCCCAGTAGGAGTTTTGGAAAAGGATATGAAAAATACAGTGACTTTGATACTGGGGTCCACTGGTCTGCAAGAGAGTGAAGAAACTAGTAGGGTCAGCGAGAGGAGATGGTCCATAACTGGGAAAATGTGGGAAGCAAGAGATAGGGGTGGTACAGCAGCTATGGAAGAGACAATTGGAAAGTTCAGAAGATAGACTGGAAAATCCAGAAAGGCAGGAAGTGGATAAGAAGTTCTGCAAGTTCTAGACAAAAATCTAGATACACACTTGCGGTATGTTAGTTTTGGAGTGCTTACCTTGAGGGTCTCTGAGTTTGGCTTTCCTAAGAAAATGCTATGTACCCATACTTTTATGGCAGCTGAAATACTGTGGGCATCAACATCATGTTGACAGAACATCAACATGTTGATGTTCCCTTTCTCTGAACATCAACACTAGTTCAGCGAAAGGCAGCTAAATGGAATCCAAAATCTAAATGTTACCCAAAATGCTGACCCACACTCAGGGTGCAGAAGACATCCAAGAAATTCTTTGGCTTGTTGAAGCTGAACTGCCGTGTGGCAGATTGACAAGTGCCTATAAGGACCATGCTTGGGGGAGGCAACATCTCTCCAGCTTCTGGAGTAGGACGAGAGCCTAGAAGCAGGTGTCTTGCTATGCTAGAGTCAGTAGCAATTTTCCCCATGTATCTATGAAGAGGTTTCTTTGCACATCACATCAGTGACCGATATAGCTTTGGGGGAGGATGTGGCCATCCTAAACTCTTGAACATAGCATACATGAGCTTGGAGAAGTGAACACAGTCACTACCTCAAAGAGAAGTTTAGTGGCACCTTCAGGTGGCACTGGTCTCATGGTGTTGGCTTCAAACTAGCAGACATATCACTCCACAGAGAGTGCTATGGTACTGCTGTGTGGCTTTCTGGAGTGCTGCTTCAGGTTTGCCTTCTAGCCTCTCTGTGACATCTCTGGATCCCCCTTGTTCTTCTCCAACTTTGCAAACTGTGTACCATTGCAAGATGCTGGCCCAGCAAGATCTGCACGGAGGCTGAATGGTGGCAGCTGGCATCGCCTCTTAATATAGAAGTGAGGGGTGCGGTTGCACAGGCAGTGTGGTGCAGAGAGAGCAGTTTGGGAACAGGCTGTGTGCTAAAAAGAGTATAGTTGCATGTTGCAAAGGCTCGTGGGTTTAATACTGAGCCTGAAGTGCAGTGTAAGTACGCAGAGGGAAATACAGTGGCTTCTCCAGGGCTTTCAGGAGCAAGCAGAGGTAGTATATGGCAGCCTGCATTTTTACTCTGAGATGGACCACAGTAGGAGTTGAGCAGGGCGGTGGACGTGGCAGATGAGACTGAAGCTCACATGGAAACGCTTCAGCCATCTGTAACACTGCTAGCTCAGGTAACGTGAAGACCAGAGCTGTGGCAGCTTGAAATGTCTGTGTGGGCTGGAAAACTGTCCTGCAAACCGTTTCAGAGCTTCACGCTGTCTCTGCTATGCTGCTATAAGCCTGCTTGTTTAAACTCAGCGCAGGATGAGCTCAATCACAGCAGTGATTGCAATAGACATGCTTTCTATCCTCTTACAAACTTCAGGAGATTTTCCATCCCTCCCAAAAGTGGTTTTTAAAGGATTTTTCAATAGTTAACCACATGAATGAATAAATCATAATTATGATTCAAATAATCGTCTGAATGAATAATTCATTGTAATAATTGCAAAAGGAATCTCAGCAAGAAGCATTTTACTATTACAAAGGTAAACATTAATTCATTTTTTCTAAAGAAAGGTATATTCTACAGCAAAGTATTTTTTCATCTGACTGTCATACCCTAATTATGTATAATATGAAAGAAAAATATTCTTCCTTGTGCGACAGCCATCTTCATGTAAATGAAAAAATACGCTTTGTTTTGCAACAGCCATCTTCAATGCTAATGGGTGAGAAAGGAAAAAGGATTAAGAGTGTATTCACCTCCTTCCTGAGGACAGAGCCAAACAAGACAGCCACAGTCAGCTGGTCAAAATGTCCAGAGCCTGTAGTAACTGAATATTGACAGCTAGTTAGGGAGGAACTGGGAGGAGGGGTAATGAGCGGTATGTTTTCTTCTAGATCTGTGCTGCTAAGACATAGTGTAGGCTAAGCATATGGCTCACAGCCAGCAAAGGCATCAGATACTATGATGCTAAAAGCCTGGTTAATAATATTTAGCACTGACAAAGAGCATTCAAGGGAAAGAAAGACTTTGGTCCTGCAAAGGATGGAAGCAGCCTCACCTGTTAGCCCTATTTTCAGAGGGAGAAAGTACACTGTCTTTAATCTCTCTCTTTCAGATGCCAAGCATGACATGGACGTAGCAAGCCACAGGTTTCTAAAGCCAAAATAGCTGGTAGCCTTATTGCCTGTGAAATGCAGTTTTGGCTCCCAGGGAAACTGAACGCTGTGTGGTGATGAATAAAAAAATGAGCAAGCTCATGGAACCTTGGAGAAGGAGCAAACTCCATCCACCCCAAACGAGAGGAGAGAAGCTGTTTTTACCTGTGTCTTTCCCCAGCTGCACTGTTCACTGTGTGACAGGTTGTCTCCATCTGTGGATGGTCTGATGCCACTGTCGCGCTTACATCATATGGCAATGACATTTATAAAGGGAGGTCCGCGAGCCACCGGCATGGAGTGACTGGCTCAAGGTCAACTACAGCCGCCGGCACGGACAGGAGCAACAGAGTCCCACGGCGGAGCCCTGAGCACAGACCGGAGCCGGCGACGTTTGACAGTCCCCGTCGGGGTTTTGGCTGAAGGGCCGGGGCAGGTTTTCCAGGTGGAAGGAAAGCAGGGGAGAAGGCGGGCGGGTGAGGTGCCACCCTTTGGGCAAGCTGTTGCGAAGCGCCCGTCCGGAGAGCTGCAGCCCGCAGCGGGCTCCCCTCGGGGGTAACCCCCAAAGGCGTGGCGGCAGCTGCCGCGGCGAGGTCCGGGGAAGGGGTACGAGCACCAGCGTCCGCGCACGCCCACGGGTCGGTGCGTGCATCTGTCGCCATCTGAGCGTGTCCGTGCTGGCGCTGCCTCTATCTGCGTGCCTCTGTCCTTCTGTGTGTGGCTGCGTGCACCTCTCCTCTCCCTCTGTGTAACGTGTGTGCGCTCGCACACCTCCCTCTTCTCCCCATTCTCTCCCCCCCTCCCGTGTGTGTGTGTGTGTGTGTGTGTGTGTGTGTGTATACGGCAGGGAGAGCAGAGCCGGGAGCGCCGTGCAGCAGCGCGCCGGGGACGGAGTCGGGACCGCGGCCGGAGGAGGAGCTGAGCCGCGCCGGGAGCCCCGCGGAGCAGCCGGGCGAGCGCGGCCACAGAGAGGCGCAACAGGAGGGGTGGCGGCGGGCGATGGCGGCCAGCGGCCAGGCCGCCCGCTGAAGACGAAGGGGGACGAGTCAGCGGCGCAGAGCGGGGCAGAGCGGGAGGGATGCGGGCGGAGGAGCCGCTGGCGCTGGCGGCCCCGCGGGCGGGCGGCGGCGAGGCGGAGGCGCCGGGCGAGGAGCGGAGCGGCGGGAGCTGCTGCAGCAGCGAGCGGCTGGTGATCAATATCTCGGGGCTGCGCTTCGAGACGCAGCTGCGGACCCTCTCCATCTTCCCCGACACGCTGCTGGGCGACCCCAGCCGCCGGGTGCGCTACTTCGACCCGCTCCGCAACGAGTACTTTTTCGACCGCAACCGGCCCAGCTTCGACGCCATCCTCTACTACTACCAGTCCGGAGGGCGGCTCCGCCGGCCGGTCCATGTGCCCCTCGACATCTTCCTGGAGGAGATCCGCTTCTACCAACTGGGCCAGGAGGCCATCGAGACTTTCCGGGAGGACGAGGGCTTCATTCAAGAGGAGGAGAAGCCCCTGCCAGAGCATCACTTCCAGCGCCAGGTCTGGCTGCTCTTCGAGTACCCCGAGAGCTCAGGGCCAGCCCGGGCCATCGCCATTGTCTCTGTGCTGGTCATCCTCATCTCTATCGTTATCTTCTGCCTGGAGACCCTGCCTGAGTTTCGGCAGGAGCCCAAGGGCCCCCAGCCCGGCTTTGGGGAAGCGGCGCCGCCGGGCGACGAGGCGCTGCTGCTGCTGCCACCGCCGGCGGCGCCGAGCGGGACTCCGCCGCCCCTGCGCCCTGCCGCAGGTGCCGGGCCCTTCTTCACCGACCCCTTCTTCCTCATCGAGACCCTGTGCATCATCTGGTTCTCCTTTGAGCTCCTCGTCCGCTTCTTCGCCTGCCCCAGCAAGCCCGAGTTCTCCCGCAATATCATGAACATCATCGACATCGTAGCCATCATCCCCTACTTCATCACCCTGGGCACCGAGCTGGCCCAGCAGCAACAACAGAAGCAGCAGCCTGGGAGCAGCAGTAACAATGGGGGACAGCAGCAAGCCATGTCCCTGGCCATCCTCAGAGTCATCCGCTTGGTCAGAGTGTTTAGGATCTTCAAGCTCTCCAGGCACTCCAAGGGGCTGCAGATTTTGGGGAAGACCCTCCAGGCCAGCATGAGGGAGCTGGGCCTCCTCATATTTTTCCTATTCATCGGGGTGATCCTCTTCTCCAGTGCTGTCTACTTTGCAGAGACTGATGACCCTGACTCCCTGTTCACCAGCATCCCTGATGCTTTTTGGTGGGCCGTGGTGTCCATGACCACCGTGGGCTATGGTGACATGTATCCCATGACAATTGGCGGCAAGATTGTGGGCTCCCTGTGTGCCATCGCAGGTGTGCTCACCATTGCCCTCCCTGTCCCTGTCATTGTGTCCAACTTCAACTACTTCTACCACCGAGAGACTGATCATGAAGAGCAGTGCCAGTACACCCATGTCACCTGTGGCCAGCAGCAGTCACCCTTCTCTGAGCCCAAGAAGGGGGACAGTAATCAATCTCTCAGCAAATCTGAATTCCTGGAAGCAGAAGACCTGGAGTCCATGAAATATTCCAACTTCATTCCTCCCAACAACCAGGGTTATAAAGAGAAGAAAATGCTGACAGAGGTGTGATCAGTTTTGTTAGCCTGAGTCCAGACATGGAGCTGCAAGCTGCTGCACAGCCGTCTTCCTACTAGCAGCTGGATCTATTCAGCATTTACATGCCAGACTGTGAACTGTGATACTGTAAACAGAATGATTGTGATAATGGGCTCTTCTGTCCTGATTTGCTGTTTCTCATTACCGTGCACAGCCAGAAATGTTCTTGCTTTATTCTGTGGAGTGCTGTCATCCCTCACTCCCTTGTGAATTTCTTTCTCTGTTTTTGAAGACTGCTTTAATTCAACATTTGCAGTGAAACTTTGCCTGTCTACTCCGCTAGCAGAGAAGCCCTTGACACTACTTCAGCTGAAGGATTTAGAAGGGAGTAAACAGTTAAAGGGGCTACAAACGTCTGCCTCAAGCTGTGCCCATGGTTCCTGTGCCAGTGCAGTGCCCTTGGCTGTGGGATAAGTCACGCCTGCCATGCCATTGCCTTTGAATAATGGAAACACTGTAGCCAGCATCACAGTGAGTTCTGCAGCTGTAAGAGAAAGTCAGCAAGTAGATGCCTGCCTTGTTTGCAACACTTGGCATGCTGAAGATCCTCTTGGTTTGTGTTTCATAAAAGATGCATAGAACTAAAAGCTCTTTGCTACTTGTGACCATGTACGATTTATCAAAAACAGGCTTATAGCAATCAACAGGCTTGGTGAAGATTCTCTGTGTTTTTCAGCTTATTTCAGCCTTATTTTTCCCAGTGCCCTGATGTTAATTGGCTTTTATTGTACCAACTTAATCTTCATAGTGGTAAGTGCCTTCTGAAGCAAGGCACATTTGAGTAAGTTCATTTGTTATCTCCACACAATATTGTTTAATGAAATGTGCTTTGTGCTTCAGATACTCAGTTCTGTAGTCAGGCATGTGAGAGCAATTGACTTCACTGTGTTTTTATTGAAGCATTTGTATAGGTTAGGGAAGTTTGCCTGTTGGTATTTTGTTGACATGGCTAAAAGACCTGGACCACAGACAGCTGCACCTCTGCTGTCTGAAGCCTGCACTGATTTAGAGGGTCACAAGCATGAAATGCCCCAGGGTAAAGTGTCTCAGCATTTGAGACTGAAATTGGCACAAACTTCCCTAAGCCATCTGCACAAAACCAACAACATACCCCAGACCTTTCAAATGAGGGGAGAAACAGCTAGCCTTGGAGGTATGCTTTTGATGCATTACTCATCTAGCCAGTTCTTGGTATTTCATTGACAGAAGGCACAGGAATGTCTTTTGCATGAGCTAGGCTTTATGAGAGCCATCTATGCTAGCAATGCAAAATGCATAACTTGCCCTGCAGTGCTGGGTTTTCCAAGGGACCAAGGGGTTGCATCTTACAGTGCACATTTTGCTTCCCAGAGCATTTTAGGTTTTTTTAATCAGCTCTGCCTTACCCCAAACCTTAAAGTGTTTCAAAAGCTGCCAGTGGGTGAGAAGGAGAAATGGATGTTTTCAGGTTCTATTGGCAAATTTTCCTGCAAGGGAAAGTCTTTGTTTTAAATCTAAGTGTATATTCTGCATTCACATGTGTGCATGTGTATGAAAGCAAAGGCAGCCATTAATGCCTTGCATCATACTGTGTGATATGCTTATTAGAATGTACTACATATTGCATGTGACTCATGTAATACATAAACCAGGCATACTATCAAGATGCAAAATATATAGAATACACTTTGTGTATATATTATGCTTTTCAATCATAAGACTAAGAATGCTAAAGGCATATACTGTAATATAGTCAGAATAGGCTATAGAACTGGTTGTAAGATTCAGTCTGTTTTCATCTTTGTTACCCTGCTTGGTTTTTGTTGTCTTGAGATCTGGCTCCATGCCTAGAGTGCTTTTATTGTGGCTTCTCTTCATCTGGGCCCTGATCATACAGTAGAAGTTGTTTGTGTAAATCCTAACTGCTGTATTTCTCCAGAGTCCTGTTGTCTTCTCAAAGGTTTTTAGTGTTCAGGGATCTCCCCTGGGGTCAACGCACAACCTTTATGTTAAAATATCTGTTCTCTCTCTCTGAAATCAGTAGCAAAATGTCACTTGTCTCAGTTACTGCAGGTCAGTCTGGGAGACATATGTGATGTGATGAGGGCTCTGTAGCTTGAGAGGAGTTTGCCTGAATACGTAGGTGCCTAATTCCTCTTTGTCTCCTTGGGACTGAGGCAAATTCCTAAAGGTCTGGGCTTTGGGAGCCATTCTGCACCCCTTGAAGCATGTAACCAGCTGGTGGTTAAGTAATCCTGGTGAGTAAGTGGGACCGAGGAAGGATCAGCACAGTGGTATGTCTATTGATTTTATGTAAAAGTTGTCTTGGTCGCTGAGTTAATTTAGTAAAAGGCTGTTGTTCTTAGCTGTATTTCAGGATCACTATAATGAAATCTTTTCTGTGAGTGCAGGAGAATGACTTCATTTCGGGTTTTGTGTTGCTCAAGCAGATGTTCTAGAAACTAGCAAAATAACCTGCTATTTAAGAGGGATGTTTCAAGGCTCCTGCTGTCTCCTAGCAGAATGCCCATGTTTGGGGTTATTTTATTCCTGAGTGTATCAGCTGATAAAAGTTTCCCCAAAGTAAGATATAAAAAACTCAGGTTAAGCACAAGATCAGGAGGAGCCTACGTCAGAAAATTCCTGTGCTCATTTCTTCCCTTGGGCCTGACCCTGTTGCCCCTGCCAGGCAGGAGCCCTCCCTGTTCATAACAGGTTGTGCTTCCAGCCAGCATGGCAGACAACTGGGCAGGGAGGCTCTGGCAAAAGAAAAGATTATAGATGCATTACTGGTAGCATTAACCCAGCATGTCTAAGAAAAATGCTCTTGGAAAGAAATTTCTTGCTCTCAGGTGAAATTCAGCAGTGAGTTTGTAGCTGGACTGTTGTGGTTTCTGAAAATCTCCATACAAATGCATGCATGCCTACAGATGCACACCCAAAGCACCGGTCCAAAGGAAGTCTGTTGCAACCAGGCAGCTTTGTGTACTTTTTTGCCATCCACATTTTTCAGTTCTGAAAAGAAAGTGTAAATGAAAATGTGAAAACAGGAATGGTGTTTGCTCCCTGGGTTTTCTGTGTTAGAGCCAAGAGAAATACAAAAAGCCAACAGAAGCTTGGAAGTTAACCCTGAGACTTCCATTTGGCCATGCAAATCCTTCTCTAAACACCTTCTGAAAATCAAGGCAGTGAAATCCCAGAGTCGTCAATAACACTCTGTGCTATAGAAGTTCTGGAATTCAACATTTTTTATTAAGGAGCCTTTGGATTTTGTTTTCAAGTGATTGATGGGACTTAGTGGCACCTCTGCCACTGGCTTCACAGAGGACTCATGCCGTCAAATCACAGTGTCGCTTTCAAAAATCTTACCTCAAGTTTTCAGCCCTTAGCACTCATTCCTGGATGTCCAGAATCCAAATCTGTCTGTCTAGCTGTTTCCTTCTGAAGGCAGAGCACATACTCATGAAGCAAAGTAGGCACCTCCAGGGACTTGTTTCCATAACAACCTCCCAGACTGTTTCTCTTTACCCTGTGACTGTGGCTACAAGCAAAAGCACTCATTGCATATTTTCAGTTTTTAGATACTAGCACCTTGTCTTTCCAGCTGTTTCTTTGCTTACTGAAAATGATCCCACCACCTTATATCATGTACAACTGTCCTGTCCAACTTCAGACAGACAGTTTCCAGCATGTGAAAGCAAAGAGTGCAAACCAGGAGATGGGAGGGGATTATATTTGTATATCCTTGCACACAGAGAGGTGGGGAGTGTGTGAAGGACAGTCTGAGCACTCGCAGTCAAGGAGCTGAGGGGCAACTGGCCTGTGAATGTAGAGTCAACTGGGTGCCTGGTGGCAAGGAATACAAGCTAAAGCATCAGTTTAAAAACCCCAGATACTTCCTTTTCAGCAATCTCCTTCGGAAATAGTTTTGCTGTGGAAGAGACTGTTGCTTGTTCCTGAACCCTAGGCTGTTCTGCAACAGTCAGTTCCCCTGATGATTTTCCTATGGGGTGTTTTACACCAAAGCAAGATGTGGCAGAAAGCATCTCATTGGAGGTGGGAAAGGAAGGAAAGGGAAGAATTTTACTGAGAACACTGTTTTTTTTGTCTGTAACTCGTCGACCACATCAAAGACAGTAAGTGTGAAAGGCATGAAGAGCTGTTATGTGATATTTCAAAGCCTGTATTACTGGTGTATTGCTGCACTTACCTCCAAGATGAAATTCCTATTTTGCTCTTGCTTGGAAAAAGTCATAGTTCAGGACTCCTGGTTTGGCCCTGTTCCTTCTGATCCAGCTTTCATGGGTAAAAATTCACTGCTACAGCGGCTATGGGAGTGAAGGTGATCGGACTTGGTGTTCTGTCCTAGGCCCCTCGTTCGGTGTACAGAGGTCCTATGGAGATGAAGAAGAATGAGTACAAAGGAAATTCAGGGCAGCAAAAGACAGGGTAAGGACTGAAGTGTCTTCCATAGTGTGATGGAAAGAACAGCACCAATCCTAAAAGCAAAGGAACAAACAGATCCAGCATCTGCTGCTTTAGCAGAAGTAAGTAAGGTTTCTTTTTCTTCTGTGAAATTAATGACTGAGAGTTTCTTGGGATTAACGAGGCAGGATTTCCTAATTAAGATTTGCAGCCTAAAGGGAGAATTTGGTTCTAGGTGAAAAAAGGGAAGATAATAAAATACATCAATGTAGTATGAGCCAGATTCTCACCATCTGCTGATTCAAGTTGGCAAAACTCCATTTAGTACAACTACCTTGGTTTATACTGGGCTTCCACTTCAATCTTTTGCATCAAGTCAAAACATATGTACTATTTCTTAACATGCTTATTTTTATTTGTTCTTTTCTTGAGGTCCTGTCTATATCAGGGAAAGATCTGCAGATTACAGCAGGAGTTAACCACAGCTTTCCCAAAAGCTCTCCTGTGACTTGAGTCCAAGTAAGTCTACCAAACTTAGCAAAGTTTAGCTTCTCTTTATGGTTATATTGACAAAAATAACAGCAGCAGGATTTTATTAATTTATTTATTTTCTCAGTGGTGGAGATGCGCATACAAATTTATAGAGAAGTTTTAAGACTAAACAAGATTCTGCCCTGGGCTGCAGTCCTGTAAGCACAAGATAACTCTATTCACATTGCTGTAACCCAGAGCACAGTCTGAGCTCTTCATCTTTACTTTTCGGTGCTCACACTCTAGACAAATCCTATTCTGAAGACAATTGTATCCATGTTATCAGCAGGCTCACAGTCAAATCCCTGATTTGCAGTCATCTGCTTTACACATAAAATGAAGGAGAGGAGCAGGTGCTTGCAGGATGAAAAGACTGAATCCTCTGATAAAATGAACCTGTGAATGTTGAGTGTCTTTAGCTGCCACCAGAGACGATGATGAAATTGCATACCAATTACAAGATGGAGTTGTTCTTCTGCAGGGTGAGGTCCTAAATAAGGCAAGACCTTAGGGAAATAAATCCAGAAGAGTGTGGGGAAAAGCAGACAGGAACTGCAGTAACTAATTTTTTCAGTGTTGCTTATGGTGTTAGTACACATTAATTCTATATGCTTTGCCTAAGTGGCTGGATTTTAATTGCTCAGGGGAAGTCTGGGGCTTGTTGGCTGGTGCAAGAGCTTGAATATCATAGCATAGTTTTACACTTTGGGAAAAAACATTCATTCATAAACACTACAGGAAATATCCGTGTTTTCTGTAGTGCAAACTAAGAGGGGCTGGAGCAATAGGTTGAACTTCCCTATGTACAACTTTTTCTTAGTGAAAGAAAGGCAAAGTTTTATAGAAGGGAAAGTGCTCATCAACTTCCTGGTCACCCTAAAATACTGAAGCCATGTTGCCTATTCATTAGAGACAAGACTCATGGGAAGCTTTTGTTGTTTTACAGAATGTAACTGAAAGTTCAATAAGTCCTTCTTTAGCTTCACTTCCGCTAAATGAATATAAAACCACTTAGTTGTGTGTAAAGTTTTGGAAGACCTTTAGTCAAAAAATGCTATAAATCACAAATTTCTCAAATTTCTCAAATAACCAAATTTAAATGGTATTGTAGCCATGGCTTGTTTAAAGAAAGCAGGGGTCCCAATTCTGCTCTCTGCCCAAGGCTAGATAAACATATCCTTAAGGATATGAAGCTGTGATTCCTGATTTAGGTGACTGAGAGAGAAGAATGAGTGCCAAAAAGGAGGGCTGTAAATGCAGATGTGCAGAGTAGATCTCTTTAGGTGTTATAGGTAAACGTTGGTGCATTCACCTAAAAGGCTGTATAAATTTTACACCAACAGAAGATTTCACTTTTAGAGTACATATTGGTTTATTCTCTTGCATTCTCTGGAGAGAAATTAAATGGTATTTTACAAGAAAACGGGAACATTACTGTCTCCTCTTGCTGTTTGTTGGTGCATCTGTTGTTTTCAATTAGCTTGATGGCATCCATTTTCAGAAAGCAGATGCTGCCCTCTTTTACACTGGTGCAATTCTGGAATAACTGCACTGACGTCAGTGAAGTGACTCCAAATTTATCCCTGGTGAAAGCAGAATTGGACCACAATCTTCTTGTTTGCTTATCCACACTGGTGTTTTCAGGAAGGTGCACCATTACCGTACCGTAAGGGGAAGGTGAGTGCCTGTCTGCTGTGCCATGGTCAGCTATTTTGTGTCCTTGACATTGCACTCACATGCCTGGCTGGAGCAGAATTCAGGTCTGCCATGGGGTGTACAAGGGCACCAGATCATCCATGTTGAATGGAGCAGTTGCTGCCCCCAGATTCCTGGCCTGTTTCCTATTCCAGTTTCGATCAACTGCCTCATGATTGGATATGTTTTCCAAGGAGTGAGAGTTTTTTAAGCTTAATAAATGTAATTGCAAGTCTTAAGTAATATGATAAAAGAAGGGTAGCAGATGTAGGTATGGAGACAAACTCTAACCCTCCTGCAGTTTTTTGCTGCTATGGCTATGTAAAAATTGTTGCAGTCCTGGCAGATTGGCTACACATCTGTTGGTGTCAGAGTCTCCATTTTCAGGGAACACTAACTAAACAAATTTAGCTACTTCTTTCCTGCTCCATCTTTGCTGATCTCAATCATGCCTTCCCTGAAACTGGACAAAGAACTTCATATAAAGGCCACTAGCATGCTGTATGGAAAAATACCACTTCACATGGGGAAGATGAGGGTGAACAGAAGGAATACAGTAAGTAAAGAACAGCGTAAATAAATACACTGTGTGTGACAGGAGGGAGCTTCTTAAAGGAGTTCCTCAACGGTTAGTTCGGGGATTGTTTAAAGCATTATCTGTAGAGCTGAGACTATAAAATTTAGTAATGAAGCAACTTCAGTGTCATCGTCAAGATTGTATATTAGGACACAGAACTAGATTACTGGATCTAGTAACTGACTTAAAGAAATACATTAAACAGCACAGAAATTAACGTTGTGATAGGGATTTTCATGGTAAGCTTATCAGCTGGGGAAGACAGACAACAAGAAAGACTGGGGATGCTTTCAGATCAGCCAGAGTGCCAGTGTCACTTACTGAACCACCAGAGTAATGCAGCCGTAAAAGCTGCGGGTGGAAGTCTTTGAAAGTCTCAGAAGGAGCACATTCAGTGCCACCTGGGAAATACTAATTCCATCAGGCCTCATCTGGAATGCTGGGTGCATTTTTGGTGACCTAAATTTGGTCAGGAGGGATGTGCAGAAGAACAGCAAGAATGATCAGGCAAATGGAAACTGCTCTGCAAGAGGCAGCTGGAAGAGCCTGACTTTTCTAGGCCAGCAAAAGACTGACAAGACCTGTAGTTACAAAAATATTGGGGACAGAGTTGCCAAAAAGAGGTATGATCTATTTAAGCTAAAAGGCAATGTTGGGTTTGACCAGTAGAGCACAAATTGGCTATGATTAAATTTATCCTGGAAAGAAGAGGATGATTTCTAATATAACAGGCAAAGAAGGAGAAATGAAAGCTCATTCCAGGTTGGATAGTAGAAATGAAGACAAAAGACAGGTTCAGTTGGTTTGTTTTCTTTCCAGACAGACTTTGTTAAAATTTATGAAAGGGATAATATGGAAATAGTTGCATGCAATGGAAACAGTCTAAGTTCAGTGACTTTGTCTACTGGAATCACTCTCCTACACCCGGGATGTATTTAAGATACTGAATAAATGAGAAATTTTAAGATCTTCCCTCATCTCTTGTGCCCTCCAGCTCATTTGCCATACTGCACCCATTTAGCTGTGTACCATCAGATCCTGGTGATGTTATTATTTAATACTTGGGGGCAGGGGGGTCTGTAGGAGGGGGAGCTGGGGGAAGAACTGTAAGTCTTGAGAGATGTTTTTTCTCTATGAGACTGGGGGAAGCAAAAGAAGCCCTAGGAGTGGGTAGGTTGGAGCTGGGGTTACCAAATCACGCTAGGAACTAGTCTGGAGGCAGAGGGTAAAATTCACACCCTTTAAAAAACCACCAGTTTCTGTTCACTCCTCTTCTCCTCAACCTGGGACCTCTGTTGATCTTGTCTGATCTTTTCTCCCTATCCAGACCTCTCTGTGATGACCTTCCTTCTTCCTGGGGTCTCTGGTAAGTCCTTGCTACCATGAGCTCCCTGGAATCATTGGAACAGTGCGTTGCACCTAATTTTGAGAAAAGCCTTAAACCAGCTCTGCTGCAGCTCAGCCAGGTTATCTGATTTGGATGCCGAAATCAACAGAGATGTGTGATCTTCAACAACTTTTGTTGAATGGAAGGTCAGAGCAGTTGGTAGCAATGGCCACTCTGGTCTGAAGAGGGTAGCAGAATAATTTCCTATCCTAGGCACTGTTGTGGCAGAGACAGAATAAAGCTTCACTTTTCCTTGCTTACCTCTTTCATTTCATTTCATGCTGTGGAAAAGTCACAAAATACCCTGTTAAGCTCATCAGATAGAATAGACATTTACTGAGGTGGGAGCTTGACCCATCCATCCAACTCCATGTTAGAAAAGCACCAAGAAGAACCTGTCCTTATGCTTTTGTTCTTGAGCCTTCTAGCTTGTTGTTGCTCTTTGTTCACTTTTATGAGGAAACCAATCTCTTGTGGTTTGTATCTATATTTTGGCTTGCTTATTCTATTAAGAGAAGAAATAGCTCTGCTTTTTCTTCTTTGAGTAAAAAAAAGGAAAAAGCACAAGAGATTTTGCAAATAACAGTGCAGATTATGAAAGCATGTGAATATGGACACCATTTGAGCTTTATCAATTACATTAGCAGGATAGTGCACACTAATCCAGTTGTCTGTAAATAGTCTTAAGGCTTGTCCCTAGTGCTTGGTATAATTTCTTGAGTTATGGCAGTGGGCCAAATTAGAAAGGAATCAGAAAAATGCAGAATGAGGCAATGAGTTTCATTTGAATCATGAAAACAGTGTCGCATCTGTTTCTGAGATCAGTTCACTTTGAAATTGATGAAAGAAACCACCATCAGCATATGGTTATGTGCTTCTTAATTTATTGTTGTTACATCATGTGCAATGCTGTTATGTATATAGTGTTGGTTGAGGCTTGTAACACATTAATGGTGAAGCATTACTGCAGCAATCACCACACAAACACAGAGCAAAAAGGTGGTGAGAGGGCTTGTATGATTAAAATGGTGTATACCTCTTTGGAACTTGAAGATCTTTCCAATAGTGAGAGAGCATTTTGATTTTATAATAGGAGCAGAATAAGGTACAGTTAGCTTTTGACACTGGTGTGAAAGCAAGCATCTAAATGAGCAGAATCCATAACTCTTTCTTTAGCGCTACAGAACAAATCTTCATATTCTTTGCCCTGGCAACCTTGTCTTTTAGCAAGGAGATGTCGACTTTGACAGGGAGTACAGTTAAAGAGCACAGGAGCAAATCCTACAAGTAAATTTATGTTGATTTATGAGGATGTGTAAGAAGCATGGGAGATGCATTTATTGTGAATCTTCAAGCCTCTCTGATTTATTTATGCATAAATATTATTTGCATATATTCTCTTTTCATGGCTTTGCATTGCTAAGTAAACAGCTCAAGAGCACCCTATCCAGTGTGTGAAGCATTAACATGCTCTTAACTTGTGACCAGGTTCTGACCCTATCTTTCCTTTCCACACTTCAGTTTTAAATCTTCCTCAGTCAGGACCTTCATTCTCATAATGGATTTATATTTTTAAGGGTAGGCCTGTCATTAAACAGCCAGGAGCTCTGTGTACAAGCTCCTTTGTCAGTGGTGGAGGAACAGCCCTGCTATGTGTTTGAATCCCACTTCATCATCAGTGTGTGAAACAGAAGGGTACAGAATATCTGTTTTTCTACTGGTCCTGTTTGGTGTCAGATGGCCCAACTTAGAACATCTACTTTATTGCTGTAATTTTATTTTTTTTTAGATAAATACCACAGATATATTGTATATTTCTCAAGCTCTCAATTGTGCTCATATTTTAATGTGTCCAAAATAGTACTGTCAAGTACGTTTCTTTTGGTACTGTAGACTATAGTCTTTCATGCTTACGAAATAATACCCACAAAGCAATTGATCTTTGTAGTCTGTCCTTGCAGATGGCACAATGACTTTCAGAAAGATTTTTGGGAGTATTCACAACTGCTTATCCAGTAGTCTGTTATTAGATGATCTATTACAGTTTTCTGTTGGTGGATTACAAACATTTCTGTAGGACACATTTCCATCAAAAGATGCCTCTTCCTCAAAATCAGCAATATTTGTGAGAGGAGTTCCATTTCAGCTCATTTTGGTATTTTTTAGAAAATGCATGTTTGGAAAATTTTGTAATGTGCGTGATCATTTTCTTAATGTTCTGAATGTTTGGTTTTTTTTTTGCCTTTTAAAATTATCTTTTTTAAAGTAAATATATATAAAGAAAGTAAAATATGAAATTTTTCCAAGCAATGCAGTGATAGCCATTGATTGTTCTTGATTACAAGCAGTGTGGATCTGGTGTCAGCTCCGATACTTTCTTGAATCAGTGAGCTGATATTCAGATGCTCCTAAAAAGATGAAATGACAGACCAAATGGTATGAGTACCTCAGCATGTATTAGTAGTGACAGAAGGGATGTTCTAGTGCTTTGGCTATTGCTGAGGCAAGCCACTTGTTCTTTTCTGCAACTAGAAAACCTGTGCAGGTAAAAAAGTTGTTTAATGAGTCCAGACTGCTTTTACAATGCGGTCTGACTTGCTGGAATGTGTCTTTATGAATTGTGATCTGCCCCTGTTTCTGAGTCCCTCCTGCTTCCACTCAGCAGGTAACCTTTTAGGATCTTTCTACTCCTATAATATGTAATACAGAAAATAAAGAGAAAAAAAAGAAAAAAAATGATTACTGATAATTTCCTGGGAGTACTGGGAAGAATGGAAGTAGAAGGTGCTATCTGCAATGTGCTGTAGCTCACCCCCTTACTTACCTTTTTCTGTTGGCTCTTTAAAAACCAGCTGTGGGGATTTGTGAACTGCCATTAGCTAAGTGGATTTCAGAAAAGATGACTAGTGAGCTCTTTTTTGCATAGTAACCGTTAATCACCATTTCAATAGAAGATGTCTGAATACATATTGATCAAGCCAGCTGCAGCTGTGATATAACTGTGATGGGTTTTGGAAA